ACTGGGTTATTTTTTTTTATCCTACCGCTGAGTTGAGCCTGTCTCTGATTAAACAACCCAGCTGCTGAGTTACAGTCAGAGCATGGGCTTTTTGAGTCCAATATAGGAGAGAGCGGTTCACAGCTCCGCCGATTTGGTGCACTTCTTCAGCGAAATAAAGGGTTGTATACATTTTATTTAATTTATAAAGTCTTTACTGTGCTGTAAATTGTATTATTTTACGCAACGCAACATAAGTACGAGGTGTCAGTCAGCTGCGGTCACTTTGCATGATGGAAACGCCTTTTGCCTTGCATAAGATAAATAGATTTTATTCGTTATAGTACTGATTTTAATTTAATTTGATATTAAAATATGTTCTCTAATCTCAGTACTGTTTGTTTATGGGTAGGTTTTGGAGTCAGTCACGGCATCTTTCAGCTACAAGTGAAACACGAGGCCGCAGTCTAAAGTTTGCAGTTCTCCCACGAACAGCAGCCCTTCACCGGCTCAGATTTCGGTGACATGGCACCAGAATTAGCACTATTTCAGTGAAAAGCGATTACAGAGAATGGTTGAATACACTTAAATTAAAATGCTACTTTTAAACGTTACATTTTTTATGTCTAAAATGCTTGTCACGTTTAAATGTATGTAATTTTGTAAACTATGCTGTATTCACCCAAATTAATTAAATTTGTCTTGTATTTTGTCCTTGTGTTCTTGCTTAATAATAAATGTTAATCTTTTGATTATTACTGTTGCCTCTAGTAATTCTGTGTGTGTGTGTATTTTTAATTTGCAGTCCATTTTAAGCCAGCAATATAATACTTTTTAAACAACAGATGACTTAAATAAAATAACCCAGCATGTTTGGTAAAAACATTTAACCCAACCAGCTGGGTCAAAATAACTCAGAATGTGTTCTGTCCAATATTTACCCAGCGCTGGGTTGCCAAATAACCAAAGTTGGGTTGTTTTTAACCCAGCATTTTAAAGTGTTTATATATATATATATATATATATATATTTCTATATAGAGTGTATATATATTTAAAAAAATACCTGCATGTAATTACATCTGTAATTCATTTCTGTAATTACATTTATAATAACACTGTTGACCCATCCCTTACACCTTAACCCACCCTTAAACCTACCTATACCACCAAACCTGTCCCTAACCTTACCCATATCCCACCTCAATAGCAGCAAAAGTGTTTTGCCTAACACTTTATTTTAAGGTGTCCTTACTCATTACTTAAATTACACTGTAACAAGGACATCTTAAAATAAAGTGTAACCGGCCACTTAATATAAAGTGGACCAAAATATTATTACAATTCAAAACAATCATTCTTCAGTGTCAGATCAGTTGCTCAACAAACATTTCTTCTTATTAGTAATGTTAAAAAAGTGCTGCTCGATATTTTTGTCAAACCATGATACATGTTTTCTCCAATTTGTTTTGATAAATAGAAAATTCAAAGAAAAGAACAACATTTATTTGGAATAGAAATAGTTTGTTTGTAGTATTATACATTTCTTTACATCTAATGAATTCTTCCAGAATAAAAGTGAATTTCTTAAAAAAAACAGACCCCAAACTATTGAAAGTTAGTGTATATTATATACATTAAAAAAAATTATGTTTTAAACAATGTTCATATTTAAACAACATTAAATTAAAAGCAGCTTGTGATGACATAAAACATAAAATGTAATCACTTTGGATTTTTCCAAGCTCATAAGTAAACTCAACTTACTTCAGGAAGTAAAATTTGTAAACTCCAGCTAACTTATACTGTTTAAAATAAAAACAATATATATTTTAAAATAGAATACTACAATAAATAAATAATTAAATACATTTATGTCATTATTCGGATTATATGTATTTATTTGTTATCCATCAAAATCAAACAATCATGTGTTCGTTAGAAAAGGCGTGAGATCTGATTCATAAATCCATCTTTTGAATCAGACTGATTTTTGAACAACAAAAGGGTGCGCAAATGAGGAAAGATTATTTATTTTTGACTGAAGTATCACTTTAGCTGTCACTCGATGTCTCTTTCTCGTTTTCCCTCATCGAGGACACCTCATGGTGACCGAACCACAGCAGAGTTGCGTGCTGAGGACTTTGCCATCTGGCAGCAGTGCGCCGAACAGGGAATAAAGTATGACTGTACATATGAGCTGAATACCTCTGAACAGATGCCCACTAGCTGAGCGGGACTCAAAGTAAAAAAAGTTCCCTGCAGCACTAACAAGTGAATCCAAACTTCTTTCAATATCGGACAAAAGCCCCCGAACTAGAGATTTTGCAGTTGCCCGAGTAGAACAAAACCAGGAATGTTGCTTTCTTCTTTTGGTCCGAAGCAGCGTCCTGCTAAGGGAACTGACAAAGCACATTTGAGCCATTAACTCGGCTCCCTTCAAGCTTAAATGAAAACTGTGGGCCCTGACGCGCTCCCCAGATATGTTTTCACAGCCATTATGCACCGCTGGGCTGGTCAAGGTGTTATATTAAAGTGGATGGGTGGTGTGAAAAACTAACAGGGGCTTGTAGACTAGCGAGACTGGAGCCAAACTCAAAGCTTGCACCAGAACTTTTCTGCTGATTATTCACAGCCTTTATGCTTAGACACCTAAGGGCATCAAGTGCCCCGGCGCCTTGGAGAAAGAGTGTAAGTTGGGGGCAGGAGATAGAAAATGCAAGAGGTGGCAGAAATGGTCTGCTTCACAGTCACCTGCAAAAAAAAAAAGAAAAAGAAAAACTACCAATCTGCAGCGTTCGTCATGTCTTAAGCCCCATGTCTGTGTTTCTATGGTGACTTAAAAACTGTGGCATGCTCATTTCGTCCCGTTTCACAGTAACATTTTATTGCTCAGCAGTTGATCCGTCATACACCAAGACACATGAAATATGTTTTCAACAACTCTAGTAGATATCAACTTTGCCTCAGATGGTTCTCCTAAAATTGCTTAGGAGGCATAAAAATGAGGCACTTTTTTTTTAAATATAGTAGAAGTATAAAACTATATAATTAATGCGGATAGCATGGCTCATATCATGAGCATGGAATTATTGGATGAAGCGAAATTAAAAAGTTTATTACTTGTGATTTCAGACATTGGTATCTTGGCAAACCTGAGCTCAGTTTGTTATATTGTCAAAATGTCATCTTCAAAAATTAGAAAGACTAATATTAAAACAGCGTATTATTTTTCAATCATGCATAGTTATTGTAGGTTACATTTACAAAATAGTCAATTTTTCAGTGTAGTCCAGTGATGTTTTTTTTAATATTATTTATATACTACACTATAAAAAAACAAAACAAAACAAAAAAACTGCCAGGACATTATCAATTAATTTTATGGACATTTCTGGTAACAAAAAAATCAGTAAAGTGCATCATTCAAAACACCTGTAAAAATCAATGCAGAAAATTCCTTCATATAAATACAGTTGTGCCCTGTTTTTACTTTTTAAAAAAATTTTTTTTACAGTGTATTATAATATGTATTAATATTTTGAATTAGTTTTTATTTTTATATTTTTAGTTGTCATTTTAGTTTTTGCTTAAGTTTTAGTAATTGTGTTACAGTATGTCCTTTTGTCATAATTTTTTAATATTTCAGTTTTAGATTTTAAAATTGTGTTACTTCAATTTATTTTTTCATTTACTTGTCAAGGCAACAATTCAACATTTTTAAGTACGTTTTTCATTTAATCATTTTATTTTATTTTATTTAAATTAACAGAATAGATTTGAAATCATTCAGTTTTAATAGTTTCCTTTTAAAAATGTAAAAGTTTTAGTCATAGTTAACAATAAACTTAACACTACTGATCCAGTCATGTTAATAATTAAGCATATTGTTGGGCCTATACAGTTAATGTTTCTAATATATGAAGAGTTCAGATGCAAAAGCCTCTAAGTGCCATCTGAAATTTTCATCTAAAATTTGCATTTTTATCCGGCTCCTATGCGAAGGTTCAGTAATTTTACTTTAATGGCAATGTATAGGTCCTTTTCTGTAATATTAAAATGAAATAACTGAACATAAATATAGGAGCCTGATAAAAATGCTCATTTTAGATGAAAATTTCAGATGGCAAGGATCAAATTAAATGGTTTATTTTACAAAAGAACAAAAACAATTCCTTTTTTTTACCATTTTGTTTAATCTTGTTGGTCACCTCTTGGGCCATGAACCAAAACAAATGATTTACCTCTAGCAGACTATTATAATAAGGAAATAATTTTAATTTTCTTATCTTATTCTCAGCAACATCTGAGTTTAACAGTGATGTCTTAAACATAAGTGAGCATATTTATAAAAATGTCTGAAAACAAAAGCCTGAAGTGTGAGTCAGAAAAAGTTGGCACCTTCAACAGAGGGACCACAACTGTTTCCAACAGATGCCTCTCTCGCCCTCTCTTCATCCCAGCACTTCAGGTCTAATATTTCATCAGCAAAGCACTGTTGTTTAGAAACATCACACATTCTCAGGGCAGCGCAGTTTAAACATAATTCTGCCATGATTAGATGGCGCACTATCATACCTACAGTGTTTGAGCGTGTGTATGTGGAGTCTGTGGCTGCAGTCTCTGTAATTAACAAGTCTTAGCATGCTTATTTTTAATTGGACGTCAGTCACACAAATTATGGGGCAGATAAAGAAGAATCTCTCTCACTCCTCCATTCAAGCATTTGGTTTGTATGCTTCCAGTTATGTACTAACAAGCTTTCTAGAGATGAACATTGCATAATAGGATGAGTAATAAAAAAGCAATAAAATGAGCTGTGTATATTCATTCATTATCGTCAACTGCCATGCAATCACAGCAGAAATCACATATGCAGCAGGTGAGAATGAAAGCAACAAACAAAAGAAGCATCATGCCCTTTCAAACAGGCATGTGCCCCCTTAGATTTTGTGGATTTTGAGAGTAAATTCCCCCCAAAAAACATTTGCATATATAATGAGCTGTTGTGCTTTTCTTTACCTCTCTTCACGATTCTGGCCCACACAAACGCGTCCTCCATGGCGGGGAGTGGGGTTGCTGCAGGAACGCTGTCGGACCTGGAAACCGATCCCGCAGCTGGTGCTGCAAGGAGCCCATGCCGTCCATGGCGTCCATGCCCCGTTTCTGAGGATGGATATGTTAGAGCAGAAATCACTAATCAAACACTGGCACAGCTGGCTGGTATAATCTGACCTTCAGTTTGTTAACTGAGGATCTTAGTTAAGACTGTTCTAAGCCTGTTTACACTGGAAACAACATAATTGCATGAAATGATTTAGTCTTGAAAATGAGTTCAGAATCACACAGCAACTTTTGTTTCTGAAAAATTGCTGTTTTGTGGCATGGTATGGAAGCTTGTTTCCACTTCATAGTAATGACTAAAACAGGAAATTAAATAAAAAAAAAAAAATTCAAATTTACAGATAAAATCAGTCACACTGCAAGATATAAAATTACATTACGACAAACTTGCAATTTAGGAAGATACACACATATAATTACAAGATAAAATAAGTCACATTGTGAGACATTAAGTGGCATACAAGAAATTTAGCAATTATGAGAAATAAAGTAACAACTGATATATGAAATTGCAAATGTCGGATTTAAAATGAAACTATGACAAATCAAGTCGCAATTGCGAGATATAAAGTTAAAATGAGAGATAAAATCACAACTGTGAAATATGAGTTTGAATTTGTTAAACATAGAATGACAATTACAAAAAACTCAAGGCACAAATGCGAAATATAGTCACATTGTGGGATACAAAGTTATAATTATGAGAAAAAATCAACAGTTGTGAGACATCAAGTCGCAATTGTCATATATGAAATCACAATTCTCCGATTTAAAATTATTATGAGAAATCAAGTTGCAATTGCGATATTTAAAGTCACATTGTGAGTGAAAAATTCACATTATGATAATTGTGGGAAATACATTTGCAATTACAAGTTGCGAGATATAAAGTAACAAATATGAGATATAAAATAATTGTGTGATATAGGCTCAATTGTGTGATAGTCACAGTTGTGCTATATGAAATCACATCTGTCAGATATAATGGCAATTGCATAAAATCAAGTTGCAATCACGCGACAAAGTGTGATTGCAGATTGTTTGAGATATAAAGTTGCAATGAGATAAAATCACAGCTGTGAAATGAATTTGAAATTGTGACAAAGTAACAATTACAAAAAATCTATGCACATTTGCAAAATGTAGTCAGTCTGTAGTTTTATCTTATGAGATAAAAGTTGAATTTATGAGAAATAATTGTGAGACATGAAGTTACAATTATCATATTTTAAATTGCAATTCTGAGATTTAAAATCAGTTCTGAGAAACCAAGTTACAGCTGTGAGATACAATGTTATATTTTGAGAATTACAAGAAATAATGTTGCAATTGTGATACATAAAGTCACTAACACCTTATATTTTCTACTTTGAGGTGGAAACAGGCTTCCAAATAATTCTGTCATGCCTAAAGGTGAAATATGTAACTTCCTGTTTGTGCTTTAGTCTTTGTGCTGTATATACATTTGTGGGACATTTGCATACCTGGAGCAGTTAGCCACCTCAACACTGATTCCTTGGCACGGCTGCCCTCCACACTGAGGGCTCGGGCTGTCACACGCTCGAGTACGACACTGGCATGAACCAACACTGCCGCCATCACTATGACTGCAAGCTTTCCATCCTGACCAGGCTCCAAAATGACCATCCACAGTCACATTCCTCACCTACACACATACATAACCACACACAACAGAAAGAGAGCACATAAATAGTAAATGGGCACAGAAACAAGTAAACAAAATATGAATGCAAATAAATTATTACTGCAGATAAGGTCACATTTGCCAGTTATTAGATGAATCCAAACTAAAATATAGCTTTCTGCATATTAGATTTGTGATAGCTGAAAATAGCAGGCCTCCTCTTTGGAAAATGAACAAGCTTCACAATGAGCAAACATTTTCATTTGAGGAATTATATGAGAATGTAGTAATGAATAGCTAATGTAATTTTGTTATTGCTCTCTGGTTATTAACATCTGAGGTATCAGATACAGGACAACATATTTTGTGAACAAAGGGAGAAGGTAACGTTGTCTAGTGCATAAAACACGATGAGTTCTGTGGAAATGATTGTCAATGCATTATGAATAGAGAAGAATAAATGAGCCTCTGTGTGGAGAGAAATTGTTTGTGCTCTTTGTATACCGAATGCATAAGAGAGTCACAAAAAGTAAAAACAAACCTCATATTCAGAGGCCTCGCTATTGCTTTAAATATAGGGATGATACAGTAAGTTAACGTTTTTTTTCCGAGAGAAAACAAATGTCGTTCTTTGCTTACATCCATACCGTGTCAGCCTCCAGATGGGCTTTGTGAATGAAGTGTGTCTCCATCTAGCCTTACTGTGCTCTACTACTGAAGTCATTTTAGATCTGTCACTCAACCTCAGACACCTGGACAAATTCTTACCCTGCAGACGAATAGGCAAAAAAAAAAAAAAAAGTGGATATATGATGTAAAAGGACTATATCAAATGACCAGGATGTGGTAGTGAATGTGGTACAGGTACAGAAAAAGTATGTGTGTGTGTGTGTGATTGAATTGTACTTTATTTAAAAAAAAAAGGATGACTAAAAATGGTTTTCATGATTGTTGTTAGTAACAGGTTAAAGAACAGATGGACTATGTCAAGGACAATGTCAAGATAATATATGCAGTAATTTTATCTTTTTGAAACATGAATATCATATTGAATATCACATTGAATATCACATCTGACAACCTGAACTAATCTTGCTATATCAAAAGAAGCTTAACTTATCTGATATATTTAAGAAATTCCTAACTTTGACCCAAGGGTTTTACTAGAACTATAAAACACAAGTGCATTAAAACCATAAGAAACTATAATAATAATAATAATAATAATAACAACAACAACAACAACAACAACATTTGACTCAACTATCAAAACATTCCATTGTTTTAATGGAATTGTTTATTACTTTTTAAATTGAATATCAGTAACAGTTCCGGCCAAAAACAAACAAACAAACAAACAGAAACCCCCCCAAAAACAAACCAAAATCATAAAACAAAAAAAGCAGATAAAACCCTTAACAAAACAAAAGAAAACAAAAACAAAACAGCCATTGCATGTTTGGGGAAATAAAAGGTTTGGGCACAAAAAAAGAGTCTTTACATCACTGACCTTGTAAGTGAAGGTGAATGGAATTGAAAAAACAAACAAACAAACAACAGAACCCCCCAAAAAAACAAACCAAAATCCCAAACCAAAAAACAAAACAAACCAATAATTGAAAAAAAAGGTTAATAATTGGAAATAAAAGGTTAGGACACAAAAAAGAGGCATAGCGTCAATGACGTCATTGACATTGTAAGAGAAGGTGAATGAAATTGTAAAAACCAACCAACCAACCAACCAACCAAACAAACGAAAAAATCACTAAACAAAAAACAGAAAAAAACAAAAAAAACAAACAAACAAAAAACAGCAAAACAAAAGTAACTGCATGTTTTGGGAAATAAAAGGTTTGGACAATAATAAAAAATAAAAAGAGGCATCATGTCACTGACGTTGTAAGAGAAAAACAAACAAACAAATAAACAGAACCCCCCACCCCCCCAAAAAACTAACCAAAATCACAAAACAAAAAACAGAACAAAAACTCCAACAAAACAAATCAACAAAACAGTCATTGCATTTTTTTGGAAATAAAAGGTTTGGAAACAAAAAGAGGCATTACGTCATTGACCTTGTAAGAGAAGGTGAATGAAATTGTAACATTTTGCAGGCAGGCAGGATACAAATCTGCATCTTCCACACAAGCACCACAGCTTAACATGTTTGGGGCAAATTTTTGATTGTTGCTTCATACAACAAAGGACATCTGGACCTCAAAATGTGTAACCAATATGTGTAAACAACATGTGTGAAACAAAATCAATAGAAATCTTGCATTCTAGTGACTCTGAGACCGAAGCCTCCCACACTTTTACACTTCTCTGTTTGTGTTCAACAATTCCATGCTGCTTTCTTCAGGCAGCGTGGGAGGCAACTTGCTATTACACAAAATGTCATTTCTCAGCTACAGCTACAAGCTACAAGGTCTTTTACCAAAAGACCCTGTGAGACTGCCACAATGCCTGATATAGTTTATAGAATCTGTGTGTCCACAAATATGTGTGTGTGTGTGTTGATTGTGCTTTCAAAGTTGTGGTATCTCACAGAACACTGCATGTAACCTTTAGAACATGAAACCTCGTGAAGAGCAAGTGTCTAAATATTTTCAGAGCCACTATACAGGGGAGGGACATGATGGATTGGACAAAGGATTCTGGGAGTGATCTACAGGCTGGGAGGCCTCAGGCTGGGGCACATGTCAGCACAAAGGAGTGTGGGAATATGAAGCCATGTTACCAGAGAATGCCATTCAACAGAAAGATGGCTGACTGCAAATTCTGCTGCGCTTTGATTCTTTGCACACAGGCGCTATTTACTATTAGCCTTATATTCTCTTTTTGAGTACAGGAGGAGGAAAAGTTTGTTTTGCTGCAAAAGCAGCAATACATCAGATCTGCACTGTCTCAGCACTGTCTGTCCATCACCTGCAATGTTTCCTCAACACTGTTATAAAACACTTCTAAGAGTGTCTGCTGTTATGAGAAAAAAAGTTGATCCTGCAAGTTACAGTTGAAGTGGGCGCATTTGTCACTGTTCTTCACCGACAGACTGGATCAGCATCAAGAATCTTCATATGAAAAAAAAACAACATTTGGCTTTGAGGGCTGAGGCACTGCGTGAATGATTGAAGTGCATTCTGGATACTCACAGGACACCGTGTGATGCTCTGCTCCCATTGGCTCATGCTGACACTTTCTTCCAGGGTGGTGCATTTCTTGAGCACCAAATCCCAGCCGCAGTACGGATCCCTGGCCCCCACACAGGCACTGAGAGAAAGAACAGATGCTCATCGTGATCCGAAAGTTTATGGCAACATTAATCAACTGAGAGGAGACAAACGAAGAGCAGAAGTGAAGAGGTCATGTAACGAGAAATCCAATTTTCCTTTATGAAAGCATACTGTTCACAAGTTTTACAATTGACAACTTCCTTCCCAGTCCAAAAACATCATATATTGACACTAAACCACAAATACGGCTTATGAAATTCTTTCTGACATCAGAAACCTGAAACATGAACAAATAGGACAGATCCCATTGTTCATAAACATTCCAATCCCATTGTGCAGAAGTATATAAAATACAATAAACAATAATTCATATTCAATTGTGAAAGTCCACTAAAAACACACTGTTCCAGGCTGTGTGTAGCACCTACTGCTCTGCACTTCCTTTGGAAGAAGGCCATGAGCAAGCATAGCAAGAGTTAATGAGAAGCTTGTCAATTTCACATGCAGAAAGAGCATTTACACAGAAGTCTTAAAGGTATACCCTTCTAAGAGTCAAAGAAGGGTTGACAAATCATCATGTAAATTAAATTCTGACACTAAATAGTACAAAAGTTGAATAACTTTATAAGTGTACATTTGGGAAATAAATAGAATGGTAAAAACATATCATATGAGCCCTTTAAAAAGTTAAAACACCTTAAAGAGCACACATGCTTCTTATTATAAATATTGCTTGCTTTGGCATAACTTAATCTGGCAGTATTTCCCTTGAGTGGTGGTAATAACTTTAATCAGAAACAGAGAACAGCCCTGAGACGCACCAAATAGCTTTTCAAACTCATTGAGGACTATCACAGCAGTCATCAGCACGGATGGAAAGATGAAGCCAAGCGTTCAGTGCCGTAAAGCTTGGAGTACAGTGACACGGTAATGTGAATATCAGCAGTGTAAACCAGGCACTTTAAAACAGCCCTGTTATGGCATGTGGCTGTTTATTCAAACAAAATTTGCATTAGTTCCCCTTTTTGGTGTCAGAAAGTATAGAGGTGTGAGTAATTGACCTCTCCTAACCGCTTAAGAGGATAGAAAAAGCTCATCAGGCAAAACTCAGCTCATATTCTCATAACTCAGCGCTTTTCATTGGAATGCAAATGGAGAGAGATGATGAACAGGCTGCCATCTCCCCTTATGAGCAGAGATTAGAGAAGTGCTCTTGATATGAAGGCCTGGAGGCACAATGTCAAACATGATGATTGTTCTTTGTTGCCCTCTGGCAGAGGATCTTTGTGACATTACGTTTATTCTTGTGCAGTGAAAAAAATAAAATTAGGTTGCAGGCATGTATGTGCTCGTAAGATTAGTAGTATAATTTATCTTGCCATCAACTAATGTTTGTCAACATTAGTTGATGCATTAGGTATCATGAACTAACAATTCATTTCTATATATACCAACATATTTCAGCAAGAAAATACAATAAATTAACATTAAACAAAAATGAATTAATAATTAAAAGATAGGGTGACACTTTAGTGGGACCAGTTCTCACTATTAACTAGTTGCTTAATAGCATGCCTATTATTAACATATTGGTTGTTTATTAGTACTTATACTACATCCCTAATTCTACCTGATACTTAAACTTAACAACTACCTTACTATTAATAAACTGCAAATTAGGAGTTTATTGAGGCGAAATTCATAGTTAATGGTTTGTTAATAGTGAGAATTGGACCTTAAAATAAAGTGTGACCAAAGATATGGTCCACTGTTAACAAAGTTAACACATTAAATCTTATTGAAAAGAGTGACCCAAAAAAAATGCTACAAAATATAACCTTGGATTTGATTGTACTCTTTAAGGGTTGATCAGACTGTGAAAAATAGGATTCATTGTTATTTGTTAATACTTTTATTCCCCCACGGCCACATAGCCTTTGTACACAAAGAGAAGAAAAGATGTGTCAGGTGCAGAAAGTTATTATATTTTGATGAAAGTGTTGACAAAATGAAAATGGATGAAGGATGTGTCAAGCTCCAAAAAGGACAAAAAAAACCTAACAACAACAACTAAAGTATCCTAAAAGTCCATTTAATCTGTTCATTATAGACCTTAATCAGGTTAGACACCATACTGAATTTAACATGGATGAGGCTTAGAGTGTTTACAATGGAACAAATTGTATAAAGGTCATATAATTGTCACAACCGATGTATTTTGAGAAATACATTTCGTCAGCTAAACAATCGCCATGTTGTTAAACAACAGTACAATCCATTGAACGCACTGTATTTCTATCCCTCACAGCCTTGTTTTCATTCCTGTCAAATTTGGCACTAACAAGGTCTATTTTAAGTCATCTAGAAACAACACCTTTTGTGTTCAGTTTTTGACATGATGGTGAATAAATGATGACATTTTCATTTTTGGGAAGTAGTTATGAATTTCTACCTTGAGATGTTGTACATGTATCTACTGAGAAGCAGCAGTACTCACTCTCTAGACTTGTGGAAGTTGCAGCGCATCAGGGGGATTTTGATGACCTGGTCTCTGACTCCCACAAATAGCTCACTGCGGCTGTGAAGTATGAGCATGCTGCGGATTGGCTGCCTCTTCTTTGGGGGGAAAAGCTCAATCTCATCCAGCAAACAGCTGCCCGTGGTCTGGTTCAGCGGAGAGAGCACCTTCTTAATAGTACCGTAATCTAGAAAGCAGAAAGAGAAATTTGAGGGGGGAAAGAGTGAGGAAGCAGTTTAGGTGATCAAGTGGGGCATCTCTGATGACCTGGTGAGATTGAAAGGAAATGATGTCAGAGAAGCAGCAGTGGAGAATGACATCAGATCTCTTCTATTACATGAAAATTCTATAAAGTGCTAGTCTGCCACCTGGGCTGTCAACTTAAATATGGATGTGGTATTTGAATCAGAAAGGGCAAAGAGGGCAGACTGACTACTCTCCAGAGAAGATTCATTATCTTTTCCAAAGGGTGGCTTTTGTGTAGTTGAAAGGAGGGCAGAATTATCGACTGAATCACCTTTCGCAAGTTACACATCCCTCTATGGAGAATGTGATCTGTGAGTCCATGGAGGACATTCATTGGTCTCATAATGTCACAAAGAGTGAACTGGATTGGTTTGATAAGCTATTTATTATCTATTTTATCCTCGCAGTAGTTGCTGTTATTCTTCTGTTCGCTCCAAAGCGGCCTGTCAGATGTTTTATAGGAGCCATACAACATGTGGGGCAATGAACTTTTAGATACTACAAGAGCCACTGATTAGGTCCCTGCTCTTGTCAAAACAGGCTTCAGTGCTCTATTTCATTCCATTCGACTGTGAAATTCCGGGTATGTTCCTCACACTTTAAGCTATTATTGTCTGGCATGAATTGAATTGAGGCTAACTTTCTAAACATGGCGCATAAAGGACTGTTTGCCATAGCAGAGGATTTATCTTATAGCGCCTCGCAAATGTTTTAATCTTGAGTGCACGTCATTATCCTGGAATACATAGCAAGTGAATGCAATGTTGAGCATTAAATGATAATTCATCATTTACTCATCATCATGTTGTTGCAAATGCATATGACTTACTTTTTATTTTGGAACATCAAAAGAAAGATAAAAAAAATAAATAATAATAATTCATACAAGATTCATACAATGTGTGCACAATATTTTGTCATATGAGAGCTTTGTGTGAGGAACAGACCAGTGTTACCAAAAACTATTCAAATTTGTATCCAGTAATTGAAATTAAAACTAAAACTGAAATTAAAATAATTAATAACATATCCGAAATTAACAAATAATAATACTAAGTTAACAGACTGAAATGAAAGATATTACTATTATTGTCTGAAAATATTTACGCCGAACGTTGGTGTTTTCAGGAGAGAAGTAGAGATGTCCAATCTGTGAAAAAATCTTTCTTTCGAGTCAGATCTTTTAAAAGAATAAGTTAAACCAGTTCAAAAAAGTTTTTTTTTTACGTTCTAGAAGACTTGGAATATGGAGAATGGACCTCCGGAGGCCATTTGTGACCATTAAAATTCTCCTTTTTCTGTGCCACAAAGAAATAAAGTTATACAGGTTTGAAATGACATTTTTTTTTGGGGCGAACAATACATTTTATAATTTTTTGCTACTCCATTCCTTTATTCCCTCACTGTCAGACTAGACAGACATTGTGAATGCTCTTAAATCAGCATGAGGCTTTGACTTTATAATCGAATAATCGAAAACAGTTGGTGTATTCCAGAAATAAAACCAAAGTCACGCTGCTCGCCCAATTAGCAAACAGCTTTTAAACCCTGACTGTCCTGTGTGTTTATGTTGTGCAATTTAACAAGTGTCTCCTTCCCTTTAACAAGTGTTTATTTTACACAGTTCTTTAACAACAAGTGTTCCTGTAATTTAATTTCTGTTGACAGGTAACTAGATGTTCAGTGTTTTTCAGCAGTGCACAGGCCAGAGCAGATAGACTTGGAGATTTCCAGTGCTCTGGTGTGCATCTGGATAGCAAATGACAGCTTACAGTAATTTTTTTTTCCCTATGTAAGCACATGCTGCCTTTGATGTTTTATCGTTGCTATGTGTCTAATGCCTTTATTCAGCCTGGTGACCAACTGTTGCTTGCTTCAAAGACCAATGATTCAAGTGGACCACCAATTACTAGAGTCAGTTTTCCCCTGTGCCTCCCTTATGGCAATGCAGAAGTCTTCACTCAACAAAGTTCTGATGGTAAAAGTAACATTCTAATAAGCTGCGGGTTTAATGATGAGTTGGCCACCTGGGATTCTCTGACTACTTTCATATTACAGGCTTTAATGTTCATTTCAGATTTTTTTTTCTCAGATCTGTTTTTTTTAAACTATCCACTATTTAAATTCCTGTTTGTTAGTGACCCATATCTGCCTTCAGTGTGAATCAACTGACAGACATATATATGTGTGTGTGTGTGTGTGTGTGTCTCACCAAGGCTGTATTTATTTGATATATAAAAAAAAATATATATATATTATTACAATTTAAAATAACTGTTTTCTATTTGAATATATTTAACATTTAATTTATTCTTGTGATACAAATCTGAATTTTCAGCATCATTACTCCAGGCTTCAGTGTCACATGATTCTTTAGAAATCATTCTAATATGCTGATTTGCTGCTAAAATAAACATAATCATCATCCAATGTTGAAAATAGTTATGCTCCTTAATATTTTTGTAGAAACTGATTCTTTGATCAGTAGAAAGTTCAAAATAATATAATTTACTTGAAATACATATTGTAATTTAATGCATCCTTGCTGAATAAATATATTCAATTTTTAAAAGATATATATATATACAGTGGGTACGGAAAGTATTCAGACCCCCTTAGATTTTTCACTCTTTGTTATATTGCAGCCATTTGCTAAAATCATTTAAGTTAATTTTTCCCTCATTAATGTACACACAGCACCCCATAAACTTTTCAATTGTGACTTTATTTCTTTTTTTCAACTTTATTTTACAAATGAAGTTTTCTAGTTTTGACTGAGGCGGAAATGAGCTTCTATACTAATAAGATCACTCACTATAAGCATCTGCCACAACTAATGGACTGCATTTGCAATTCTGCAGAAAGTAGTGTGCTATTAGTAGAGCATCTTATGCTGCAACTCCATTAACCTTCATCAGTAACGTATATTTAATGCAGTGCTTATTTTATATTTAGACTATATTAAATGTGCATAAATGTTAACGCTATGTACAGACCTCCTATTTTTTCTATGTAAAGGTGATGTGGTACTATACCTGTTGCTAGATAAATGATGTGATAGAGCATGTCTTTGCCCTGCACTACATCCACGGCCACATGGGAGAAGCGCACATTGTCCTCCATGAAGTATGGCACAGGAACGATGGGCTGCACCACCTCGTGCATCAGAATGAACTTCTGGGCGTCCTGCAAATTCCTCTCCGTTAAATTCACATAGGAGCCGTAATCTATAGTGCCACACTGAGAAAGAACAAGAGATATACAAACAGAGAGATGCCGATAAGAAAATAAAAGGATTAACGGTCTGTGAAGAAATGCAAAAAAAGTCACTAAAAGCTGTTGGTCTGAAGAACCCATTTGTTGTATGAAATCATGATAATTTCTTCTATAGAAAAGCATTTAGAAATCTGGCTAGCAGTTGTTTCCCTAAATTACTGTTTTCCTCCCTGAATAAGATTTTATACGGAGAAACAAATTAGCTGGTCTCACAAAACCCACACTCTCTCTTGGATCACATATAATCAACATCAATCAGCTGGAGATCAACGCAGGCATAATTCTACTCAAATGGGGTGCATGTTGGTCTTTCAAGAACAGAATATACGGCAAGCCATTTTCCATCAATGCTGGAAGCCATAAATTTAAAGCTCGTAAATCTGGCCTAAACAACATGGACAAATGCTTGATGACGATGTTACAGCAAGCTAGATAAAGTGGGGCTCCTGTACATCATGAATCCTTGTGGTTCAAAGAGAAAAAGAATGACGTAAAAGACTTTCACGTGGACTTCAGAAACGTAATTATCAGGTCACAGAGATCAGCTTCAATAAGAGAGACGAGAAAGTCTGATTCAGCTGATCCAATAAAGAAGTCCATACTGACCAGACAGTTTTTAAAGGGTTTAGATATGGTAGTCAAGTCATTTTAATGGGGTCATTACCAGGCCCGCATAGAATCTGCACCCAATTCCAACAGAAAGCACTGAAGATTTTCAAAGAATCTGAACACATCATTCAGAACATCTGGGCCAGATGTGTGTTTGTTATTAGAGGTGAAATGTAATCGAACTGGTTTTCAACATGATTTACTATGTTTAAATACATTCTGGAGAATTTCACCAAAAATCAGCTTTGGAAAATGTAAATAAAAAGTCTGCAGAGACCATCTGGGCCTGGACATGGATCTCACGTCGCATTAAAATACATTTAATGGCTTTAGATTAACCTTCCAACAATTACCAGCAATTTAGACACAGATACATTCCTTCATTCTGACCACGAGTTTAGATTTCGGGAGAAAGTCTTAAAACTATGCACTGCAGAGTCATTCATTGTGAAGTGGCTGGCAATACTCCACAGGAGATGAATACTGGTTTTATTAGCTCTTATCATTGTAATTGTCCAGCCACAAATGTTATAAGCTGGCAACTTTATTAATAAATTCATGAGCATTACAAAGACATGGAAATGGAGGCAAATTAATGACCATGAGAGAGGCTTGAGGAACCGTGACCTGATCTGTCTCCCTTCCGTTATCATCGACAATATCAGACTTAGATGTTTGTGGGTTTTGGATAATTGGACAGTGCTAAGAAAAATAAATATTCCCCTCACATATTCGTTTTTTCTGGAGAATAATCAGGCAAACACATGAGGCAATAAAACGAAAAACTTCAGTCAGCATCTCGTTTTAATTGGGCACACATTGGTGGTAGTTGAGGTGAGAAAGTCAATAATTTTTTTTGGTTGTTTACCGCTGGAGTGCTGCTAACAGAAAGAGACCTGGCACTTTTCACAAATACTGTATTATTTGGCATTAGAGCAGCAGAGAGACAAATCCCACATTTGTTATTGTTATTAACCTGTAATGAAATGTAGGTAGTTTTTAAAATATGGTGATTTTGACCTGTCCCACCTCAATGGTAGCTAAAAATCTAAATAATACAAATTGTACAATTTACAAATTCATTATTTACAAATAATAAAAATATTTATATTACAAACTAATTTTAATTACTTCCTACAGCAATATGGAAAAAGACAATTTGTGTGTGTTTATTTATTTTTACACATATTGTGTTGTTGACTGAATTCAAGTCAAGTTTAACCCTGTCACCTGTATTATTTTAAGAGAAATGATCAGAATGGGAAAATTATGTTGTTGTTTTTTTTAAATCCAGCATTTGCTCCCGAGCTACACTACTGTTCAAAAGCTTGGGGTCAGTAAGATTTTTTAAAGTTTTTAAAAGAAGTCACTTTCTCAAGGTTGCAAAAATATCAAAAATACAGTAAAATGGTAATATTGTAAAATATTATTATAATAAAAAAATATATTTTAATATATTTTTTAATGTAATGTGTTCCTGTGATGCAAAGCTGAATTTTCAGCAGGCATTACTACAGTCTGCAATGCCACATGATGCTTCAGAAATCATTCTAATATGCTGATTTGCTGCTCAGGAAACATATTATTAGTGAACAATATTGAAAACGTTGAAAAATGTAGTGCTGCTTAGTATTTCTGTTGAAACTGTGATACCTTTTAAGGATTTGTTGATGAATGCAAAGTTCTATCATTTGGAAAATTATAAATGCCTTTACTGTCACTTTGATATTTTTTTTTAAATCAAATTTGCAACCCTGTTACTCATTATATCATACATTTTTTTCTACTGAATAGAAAAATCATATCATTATGTTTACTATTAGAAAATAACAAAAAAAACATTTAAACAACAAATGCTGTTAACAGGGTCTCATCAAATAATGGAAAATAAAGCTCAGAATGACTTCTTGATGAAGAGGATGATGATCAACATTCTCTGAAGGTTAAGCACCTCCTTTCACTGACCATTTGAGAGTTTCAGGCCCTATTCTGTACCCTATTTGTGGAAAGTGCCACTTAACTTTTAAAGCAGATGGAGCGAATGCACACTGTCCGTAAAAGTGACTGTCATTTTCTGGGTGCTTACCTGAAAGTCAGGGTTGGGATTGGGGTAGGGCAGCCAAGCGGAGCGTGAGTTCTCCTGGTACTTGAAAGGCCCACTGAACACTTGGGTAATAGCGCTCAGATTGAAGGCACACACTGCTGATGCGGCAATGCTGTTGCTGAGAACAGAGTCAGAAGCAGGCAGTCAGCACACACAAACACACACACACTTATATGCAACACTTTTTCACTGACAATCATTAAAGCATAGTGGAACACAATGTGAAAAATGGATCTGTCCATGGCTGACTGTGATACAGATCACACACTACCAGAGAGATAACAGCAGGTAAGCAAAAGTATGTATGGTGTTAAAATGATGTTTTTTTGTGCCCTCACAAAAAAACGATGCAATTATTAACAGGCTTTTGCTGAGAACGCAGACCACAAAATTGACATTCTGCAGGAAATAATGGGTCATAAGCTGACTTTTGTGCTTTGAAACCCTGAACATAACAGAGGATATCTTAAAACTGTGTGTTGTGATCAAAAGGTGCTTTACTCACACATTAGTAGTGAAAATCCCATAGAGAAACTCGAGCTCAGGCAGGAAAAAGGTTCCCTGCAGCTCGTTGTAGTTGAATGGAATCTCGCCCGGCCGTGAGCAATTAAGCCTGGCCTTCATAAAGGTGGTCCAGGTGTCCTCCAGCAGAAAACGGCCCCCGATGTCGTTCTTGCAGACGCGGGCAGCGCGAGAGAACACTGTCCGGCCGCAGTCATGCTCCACAGCGTTTTCACGGAAGAAGAAGTAGGTGAAGTTGCCGATGTCATAGGAGGAAACGAAGTTGGGCTCTGAGTTTGACAGAAACGGGGGACAGATGACAGTGATTAATAACGGATTGCACATGGAGCAGAACCGCTGGCCCATCGAGATGCATTTATTAATCTTATGCTTAGGTAATGGACAAACTCATTTGTCATGGGAGAAGAGAAAGGTTACGGTGAGAAACGATCAAAGCGAGCTTACTCGTTTAATTATCGTTCTCCATTCAAAACAGATGAATGCACGAGCCTCTCAAAGGCAAAAAGAGCAACCGTCATGGCTAGCTTCGTAAGATTCAAAGTGAGGAGGTGGATGTGATTGACAGCAAATTCATTTTCTTTTGTGGTGAGGAGCTTTGCACATTTGCACAACATGAAGGAGGAAAAATCAATTGGAAAAAGTTAATGTAATGTAAATGTAAATCAGGAGGAATTCTTCTCTGTCGAGATTTTCTGATAATCATTTTTAAACCCATCAACTCAGGCAGTTTTTTCAATTTGGACGTTGATGTTTAGGTTTCGAGAAAAGATTAAGGTCTACAGTTAAAGGGATACTTCATGCAAAAATGAAAATTCTGTCATCTTTTACTCCCCTTCATGTTGTTCAAAACCTGTACGTCTATCTTTCTTCTAAATATTCTGAGGAATATCTCAAGTGGTTTATTTTGTCCATATAATGGAAGTAAATGGTGACTAAAACTGTTGGTTACCAACAATCTTCAAATTATCTTTTGTGTTCCACAGAAGAAATTAAGTCATTCTGGATTGGACTCACATGATTGTGAGTCAGAATTTTTGAGTGAACTGTTCCTTTAAGATGGTCAATTTTGTTTTTGTGCCAAAATCTAACATCATAATCCAGCAAAAACAAGCCAGATGGACACAACAGGTGACTAAAATTACTAAAACTGTATTCTTTTTTTGTAGTGTTGTTCATCGTTTTTATGGATGATTGCATGTTGCACATCCCACTCATGTTGGCATATGCTAATTTGTCTGCCTTCTATGATATGGCTGATGTTGTATCAAAACACAGTCAAACTTGACCAGATACTCACTATTTGAAGTCAACAACAAATGATCCGACATTTATTTGTTAAGTTACACTTGCATTTAGTTTTGTTCTTGCAGATGTTTGAAATCTTATCAGAACAGACCTGCAGCCTATTTTTGTGTTGTGAACCACCAGTTGAGAACAACTGCAGAGCTCTTCAAAACAGATGTGCTACTTAAACTTACATCTCACCCTCCACCCCCCAAAATGTCATCATTTACACCTCCTTTTGTTGTTCAGAAGCTCAAATATGGAACACAAAAGCCAATGTTAGGCAGAATGCTAGAGACTGACAGACTCACTGTCAGTCTGTCACTGGCCACTTTCATTACATCTTTTTTTCATACAATAAAAGTGAACAGTGATGGAGGCTGTCATTTTGCCTAATGTCTTTATTTGTGTTACAGAAAGAAATTCATGCAGTTTTGGAATGACATGAAGGTGAGTAAATTATGACAGAAATTCAATTTTTAGGTGAACTACACCTTTAAAGAAACAACTTGCGCCACATTTTCCAAAGACCAATTAGTCACTTGATTGCTATTAAGGAATTTAGTTTGTTCTTGTAATGTCATAATTGAATTAAATCTATTTCATACAATACCATTGAGCCATTTGGAGTTGTATTGAGCAGTACGCAGAGGTGGAAGTCCTCCCAGGCTTCGGTAGATTGCCGGGTCCCTGCCGGAAAAGTCCATGGCTGTGGCGGCATACAGCTCCCCGCTGGAAGTGATGAGGGCAGTGGAATTATGCAGAGGGTTATAGGGGCACCGTGCCATCCCACTGATTTGATCATGGACCTCGGTCAGGTTAGTCAGCTGTGCAGAGAAACAGAGATTGAATTCAGACACCCTGGAATTCTTATACCTGAAAGGCTAGTATATATCTTAGTGAATACAAACGGAATACAAATCATAAAATAAATAATTTTGAACACACTATTAGTTTGTTTTGAGTCTGAACAGAGAAATACGTCCAAACATTTCCACGGACAGAAATCTCGAAGATGTTCTAATTTTGTTTACGCGAGGCACTGATGTGGCAGTGAAAACTATTTAACCGTTCTAATCATTTATTACTGTGGAAACGCTCTGCCTACTTCCAGCCGTGTTGTGTGCTATTTTGTGAGACGGCAAAAATGTTTATCTCATTACTTGGTTGTCACGCCTAGTGGCGGCTGCAATAGCTAAATGCTAATCGTTCGCAACACACCCGTTCTGTTCTTATGTGCAGTACGGAAAAGCCTTGATTCTTGCTTAGCGTGACATTTAGCCAGCAATGGGAAGCTACCATGACAGGAAGGTAATTTCCATTTGTATACAATAAGCACAAGGGATGTGCCACCTCACCAAAGGAAGCGAGTATGACTTTTCGTGCTGGTCCAAGTTATTTTAACCGATTTCTGTTCCTTCACAAAATTCTCCATCTGAACTACTAGAGAAGCCATTAGTGAACCATATGGGTTTAAAGCAGTGGTTCTCAACCAGGCTCAACCTCGGCAAACTTCCAAGAGGGCCTTAAAATGACTTACAATCAGACCAAACAAGCATAGAAACAAGCTAAAACAACTAAAAATCAAGATATTTCTTCATCACCCCCTTAACAACTATTTTTTGTCTTTCAAAAAACAGGATTGAAACTTCTTGGAAAACCTGGTTATATGAGAAAGCCTCATTTTAAAAGTGTGATTTGTGGACATGGAAAAGTCTAATATGTATTTCGGCCAAGCTCTAAAATATGTATATATGCCAGACTCTAAAATATTTTATTGGGTAAAAATTGTGAGTAAATCCTTATCCAGTGAATCACATACAATTGGAAAAGTTCTGGGAAATTATTGTGGACAAAATGGGGCATTGAGGTAAAAAAGGTTAAGAACCACTGATGTAAAGGACTGCCTCCGTTATCACTGCAAAAAATAATTTTCTTACTCAGTATTTTTGTTTTGTATTCTAGTAGAAACATCTAAACATTCTTTATATTTACACTGAAAAAAAACAATGAGATACATTTACTTGAGAAACAAATTACCTAAGACACTAAGTCTTGTTTAAAATAAAAAAATTATCAAAATTAAAAGATTTTGAGCATAAAACAACACACACACACACGCACGCACGCACATATATTTTCTTAAATGTTGATAATTATTAAAAAACAAGACTTAATATCTAGTAATTGCTACAAGATATATAAGAATCTACGATATATTAATATCGAAGTCATTTTCTTTGTCAAATAAATATATCTTGATTTAAGAATATTTATACATTTGTAATGGAACACAATAAAGAAAATAATTTTTTGCAGTATTCACAAGGGAGAGGATTTGAAGAGCTGTTAGTGCTGTTTCCTTTGATAGCACAGCCAAATCCTGTTCATCATATTTAAAAATGTGATACAAATTGGCATCAAAAACACGTTTGAAAAATCCAGTTAAAGCTTCTGTTATAATGACGCTCCTACCTTCCATATGCATCTGATATCTGTTACCAGAAAAATGACAAGTGAATGGTTTTTGAATTGAGCAATACATCTCAAGCAGCAGTAAATTTTATCTATGCAGCTTGAAATGTCATGCCTTCAGTGACTAGCTTATTTTTGTACCAGGAAATCTGACATACTGTATTGTGCTCAACCCTATCGGTCTGTCCCGAAGGCGGATTAGATCCTGTGTGGCCTCTCTTGAATGCTTTTATCTTACATGCAGCTGACGGCCACAACACTTGCCCTGTGTAATCAATGTAAAGGGGGATTATCCTTGATGCTGGCTCGAAGAAAACCTGGCTGGAAGTGTCTCGGCTTCCTTCAGGACCCAGAGCCCATTTAGCTGGCAATAAAGTCAGGTGAATTTGCATGTTTGGCAAGGCGAAGCAGTCTTTTGAAGCATCGGTGCCAGGGAGATACTTCTCCCCGAGCCAACGCCCGAACGGATGTGCCTTTTCATGGGTGCGAAGAAAGATGAAAGGCGTTTATTGATGGAACACCTTCTGACAAATAGCACTCGGAAGCCTTCGCGGATATGGACATGCTACCCATAATGCACATTAATGGAGAGGGTTGAAAGACGCCTCTTCAGGAGAGCGGCAGCTCTGTTTGAGCAGCACTACAACCTCGATAGCCGCTTGTTTAAAGATGCGGCTTTACTGGCGGCGTTACAAGGACACAACGGAGACTTTTCCCTCATGCCTTCCTGGCTTCGCTAAGTCCTTTCCTGCTGGCACGAGGTACTTATAATGGTAAATCCCTGGGGTGAATTAGCTTTGAGTCAATAATTCCTGCCATCCTTCAAAGGGCCACCGAGGAGATGATTGCCATAGTACGCAAATCGAATGTCATCATCATTATCAGGTTTGAGGAAAGGATAGAAGAGTAATCCAGTCATTCAAATTCAGGGATTCGAGCACAAGAGACTTACATGCATGAATGAAAACTAGGAGATGTGAGAGGGAATAATGGGGGATGTCAGTAAATGTGCTTGGCGGAGATGCTTATCTTTCAATCAGCCACATTGAGTGGCATTTATTGTGATAGGTGGCAACTATGCTGCAACCCATGCGTTGGAAAAATTTGTCAAAGATAAAGTGCAAACACTCGCACAACACCTGCATAACAAGTGTGAACTTTTCACAAAGGACAAGAGACTTAGAGATACTACAAGTTCCCACTTTATTAGAAAAACAGGCCTTGTTTCTTATTGTTGTTGTTTTTTTGTCTAGATCTCAAGAAAGCTTCTTCTGAGGTGAAGCATGAACAAACGTTTATTGAAATAAACCACAGGCATTGGTTGAAATACCACATGCTATGCTACACAACCCACGCAGCGATGAAAATGTCAAAGGAGGTCAATGTGGGAGAGGGAACTTGGGACGAAGCTAGCATAACATCAGGTTAGGAAGCCAGTGCATTATATTAAGTGCATTGATGCGTTTACGTTACCGTGCGGTTGGTGCAAATTGGAGTGAATGCATTTGTCCCGCATGTAAACAGCCTGTCACCGTTGACGAGTAGAACACGGATGTAATTCTGGCACTCCTCCTGTGAAAAGACATAAGGGAAAATGTGTAAGCGGTAGCAAAAGTGTTGACAATTAGCATCACAAATGCAAAATTGAGGCAACTCAGAAAAAGGTGTGTTGGCAAAATCATAACACACTATGAATAGAAAACCCACCTTTCTGTTAAAGGGGTATAGTTCACCCAAAAATGAAAATTCTGTCATTAATTACTCGGCCTCATGTCATTCTAAACCTGTAAGACCTTCGTTCATCTTTGGAACACAAATGAAGGTATTTTTGCTGAAATCCAAGAGCATTCTGACCCTGCATAGACACGTTCAAGGTCCAGAAAGGTAGTAAAGACATCATTAAAATAGTCCATGTGACATCAGTGGTTCAACCTTAATTTTATGAAGTTACGAGAATACTTTTTGTGCACAAAGAAAACAAAAATAACAACTTTATTCAACAATTTCTTCTCTTCCGTGTCAGTCTTCGACTCGCATTCAGGACAGTACCACTTTTCATCACAATTATGTTAATTTGTGTTACGAAGATGAGGGTGAGTAAATATGAGGGTGAGTAAATAATGACAGAATTTTCATTGTTGGGTGAACTAACCTTTTTTAAAGTTAATAAAAAGTTTGTTTATTCTAAAACATTCATTTATAGAACCAGCCTGAAAAATGGAAAATTCTAAAAAAAAAAAGAAAGAAAAATAAAAAATAGGCCTATATATATACATATATTTTTAACGGTTATATTAAAAATAAATATGTATACTATTATAATATATCAAATTTATACAATATATATTTTTAACAGTTAGTTGAACAAAAGAAGTCCGGTTGTCAGATTTCTTTGGTAACTTAAATTGTTTCAAACAAAATCTTGACAAGCCCTTTTTCCATTAGCACTGACTATTTTTCCCAAGTGTAGAAATATTGTATGAATGAACGAGTGAAATCATAGTCATATTCATCAATAGCAAAATTCACCCTACATATATTTTCTAAATGGACGTTACTGATCGTATTGTCAACAATTCATCTGTGTATGTTTTAATAATAAAAAAAAAAACATCACGCCAATCTTCCAGTGAAATGACTGGCTTCTCTCTGAAAATGTATGTTGGAGTTTTCTAATCATTTAGTCTGTTTAAACTTTGACTTTTTCTTTGATACTCCTTTACATTTAGATGCAAGTCCACAACTGCAACAACGGCATATAATTTGAAAAATCAAAACTCAAATCTTTTTCCATAGCTTTTAATTGATGCAGTGGCTTTTTTGTTGTTTATTCTTTGTTTGTTTGTGTTTATCTTATTGAGTATTGACCTATATTATGCACATCACATTGGCCAACAGCTGTTGTTTTAATTGTGCTCTACAAATAAAGTGACACTGACATTGACAATACAGAAAAAAAGATTTGTCACTACTTCTATTTCATTGCAAATTTATGAGACCGTTATTGTTTGATTTGAATGACGGTTTAACATGAAATCTTTCAAAACGTAATCTTTGTAAAAAACAAAAAGAGGAAAAATGTAAACAGGTCTAAATACTTCTGTCTTTCTCCACTGCAGGTAGAAGCTATATTAGCAAAAATTGCTGTCTGTGGTGTTTCCAAAATGGTCACTGTGTGAAATGGCTTCTCTTAAAGGGACTTTGGCCAAACTCCAGAAATTCAAAGCCTTTTACAGTACAGAAGCTATGTGATGTGTAAAACAACCAAACAGTCTTAAAAGGAATAGTTCACTTAAAAAAAAAAGAAAAGGAAATTATGTCCTTACTCACCCTTGTTTTTCCATTCGTATGACTTTCTTTCTTCTTTGGAACACAAAAAAAAGGATTTTGAAGAATCGTACTGGTCCTTCTTTAGATGACTGAGGCTTTCAAGCTTCATAAAGTATCATAAAAGTGGTCCATACAAATCGCATGCTACATTTCAAATCTTCTGAAGCCATACGATAGCTTTGTGAAATCATGAGAGAATTTAAACTTCATAAAAAACTTTTAAATTAATCGACTGATTCGGTTCACAGATCTGGTCTGAATGATTCAGAGTGATCGAGTTATGAGTGATTTCAAAAAGCTATCATTAGGGCTGGCTGAAAAAATTATAACGTTAATTATCGCGATATAATTTACTGCGATAAAACGATAACACGTGTTTGATAAATGTTCGATATAATGTTTATGCGCCAGAAGCAGTACGAAACAGTGCTACTCATTTGAACCGCGCCACACGGACTATTGATCTGGTAAGTTTAAATTTCAAGCGGCAGCGCAGTGCGAGCTCACTAGAGCAAATGCGTTTACTCGCTGATGAGTCTCGGTCACACGCTGTGAGATCCATTGTGAAGTGCGTGAATTCTGCTAACAAAACAAATAACTTTGTGATTTTAAACTAGTTTAAAACCAGGGCCCGTATTCAAAACATCTTAAGGCTAAAAGTAGCTCATAACTCGCCGATTTAGGAGAAAATGTTAAAAATAATGGGCGTCAATCCTAAATTTAGAACTCTTACATTTTTGCTCTAAGAGTATTTCACAAAGCGTTTTAGCACTAAAACTAGCTCCTAAATCTGTGAAAGGTTAGGAGTCGTGAAGAGGACTCCTAAGTCACTAAGACCAAGCCACAAACTATTCCTAAAATGGCTGTTGCCGGCAATCTGCCTCTGAACGTAAACATTTTAGAAACATTTGATGATAATGACCTTTTAAAAAGGTATCACATTTGGTTTTGGAGGTTACCTCAACTCCAAATGTTCCTTTGATTATATCCTTGATTTCATTAACCAGTGGGGCAAGAAGTAACAGCTGTTCTTGTGTCCAGTTTGTTTTTTAGTTTTTTGTTGTTGTTGTTGTTTTTTTACGTTTGCATGTCTTACTATCAGCCATGATTATTCTACTCTGTTAATTAAAAGGCTGTTTATTTATATACATATCCGTTAATTGTTTTTGAAAAGCATAGATGTAAGAGGCTGACAATTAGCTGAACATATACTTGTTTAATTAGTGACACTTATCCTGCATTTTAAAATCTTTAATTGAATGTGGCAATTAACCTTTTATTTTTATTTTTAAACCTTTATTTGAATACGGCAACATAATAGTGTGCTCTACAATATTATGAATAAATCTCTGACAGAGACTATCAGCCAATCACTGTGTGCATAGTTAGTAAGCATGCTGACATCATCCATAGCAACGAGGTCAACCCCTCCCTTACTCTTAGCTTAAGACTTCTCTCTACTCTTTAGTAAAAGTTTGTCTCAGCAGCTTTGTGAATAGGTTTTAAGAGAAAACTCTTAGCTAAAAACTTTTACCTCTATTTAGGAGAACTCTTAGTGGTAAGATAAAAAGTTTTGTGAATACGGGCCCAGATGAAATAGTGCTGACAAACAGCAGAAACACTGTGCACAATGATACAGTCAGAAGACTTTTCAATCTACAAATCGCGATCATTTACCATGGATTTACTGTAGTAACACTAACTGCACCATGGTATTTTGGCAGAAATGTGGGACAATCATAAAACATTTTATTATATTATTAATGTAGACATGAATTAAATGTATTAAAGGAGTAATGGAATATAATTAGAGTATTTTGTGATTAAGCCATATAGCATTTCTGTATTTATACTAAATGTATTTAGACTACTGTTTTTCATACAAATACCTAGAAATAATATGGTTACATTTTTACCATGGTATTTTAACTTTGGTTTAACTGTGGTTATAATGATCTAAATGTATACTACTATGGAAGACCAATGGTTATTTTTAATAAAACTCAAACAGTCCAAATAATTACATTTCACCATATAAAAATTAGGAAATAAAACGTTTGAATTTATCGTGATAATTACCAATATCGACTGATATGAAAACTTTTATCGTGATCATTTTTTAAGCCATATCGCCCCGCCCTAGCTATCATATCACTTCAAAACATCCGGAATGCAGCATTTTACTACAGTTTTTGGTGCTTCTGTGTACCTTCTGAAGCTAGAAATCTTTATTGTAATTGCATGGAAAAGAGCAACCAGCACATCATTCAAAATGAATCCTTCTGTGTTCCACAAAAGAAAAAAAAGTCTGGCACTTTTTTAGAACCAAATATTCTTTTTTTTTGGACTATTACTTTAGAGATATTCTGAGCCACCACATGTGCAGTCGATACAGCAAGACTCCACAATTGCAAGCAACTTACGGCAGCCTCCTCCTGCAATTCAATCACATGTTGCTCAGAGTAATCCATCTTATTATGGGCTTCAGAACACGTTTCACAAGCGAATAAAAAAAAAACTCATGGGGCCGTTCACACAGGCTGAAACTGCACGGGGGCCACTAGAAATACACCTTGGGGCTCGGCCCAGGCTGGAAGGATGGTCGGCAATCCCAAACACAGTCCCTGTACAGCTCCCATATGACTTAAAATGGCTCAGCTTAGTGTAGCATACTATAAAGCAAAGGGGGACCCTCCGTCTCATGTTTGACAGAGCTGGAAGTGAAATATTAAGGAGATTTAAGAAACATTTTTTTAGCACAAATCTGATCTGATTCAGTCAGCCTTCAAAAACACAAGGGAGTCAGTGCTGAAGTGCCATGAAAACGGCTCCATAGCAAAGTGGAAGAGACGTGGGAATGCCTGAGCAAGAGCGATGCCATAAATAATGGGTTAGCTATTTTAGGAGGGCGATTGCTTTTTTAAGAACAGGTAATATTTAAAATAACCTTCATTCAGGATGTGAATTACAGTGGGGATTGGGGGTTTGAATTCACCCCCTCCCCCCACCAATGGAAGTCAAAACAAAAGGTAGGTCTGAAACATATTACAATGTTTCAGTAACCACAAAAGGTCAGATTACAAGTTAGTTAGCTCATATTTCCATGTGGCGCCAAATGGTAACTGAAATTGCGCCTGAGGTGGTTACTATAGCAACAGGATGCCGCTTTAGTGGTTTCTGTTAGGATCAGTATTGGATGTTATTTAAAACATATATATACTATTATGGATATAAACATTGCA